GCTCACCAGCTGTGACTCTCTCTGTCCTACCTTTTACAACAAAACTCCCGTGAAGTGCCATCTATGCCGCCGAGGAGTTCCCCGTGGACTTCTACACCAACTCCAACGGCCAGTGCTGGGCCCTTGTCTCATGCGCCAGAAGCCTCTGACATAGGGGGCCCCTCCCTTCTCCACCCATGGCTTCCAGGGGAACAGACTTATCTCGCCACCTCAGTGACCACACCTTCTCCTCTTCTCTGCCGCTGCGGCTGCGTCCTGGCTCCCTTCCTTCATGTCCCTCACTTGGTAACCTATCAGTTTTCCTGCCTTTAAATAACACCAATAAGCAAAGTGACACTCCAAAGTGACACCTCCATTGCAGACTTCCTCCAAACTCCAGACTTGCCCACCTCTAATAAACCACCTCGAATTCAATGTGCGTACAACCGGGGTTCCATCTCAGCCCGGTCCACCCAGCCCACCCTCTGCACCGCAGCCTGTGGCGCCCCGCCAGGTGTCCGGCCGCTGTGCCGGAGCCATCGCTGACAATTCTTTCTTCTCTGCCCCTGACTGCCAGGAAGTCCTGCTGGCTCCAGTTCAAGATTCCGACTCCACTCACCACCCACACCAGTGGAGCCACGCCCGTTTCCTCCGGGGCCTGCTGCCCGTGTCCCTCCTCCTGTCGCTGCTCCCACGGTGATCCCTTTACAACACGAGCCAGATAATACCTTCCTTTGCCCACAGCCCTCCATAGCTGTCTGTTTGACCCACGGTCATAGCCAAACTCCTAAGGATGGCCTTCAAGGCCGTTGTGCCATCTCCAAGGCCTGTGTCTCCACCGTGTGTGCGAAATGCTTCCCTGGGCCTCGTCCAGCCTGCTCTGTATGAGAGGCTTGGTCCACACTCTGTCCGCCAGCCTCGTCACTTTCTCCGAGTCCTGCCTTTAGTGCTACTGCTCCTGTTCTGTTTGAAAGAGCCACCTGTGTGCCTCCCACCATCCGTCTCCCTGATCCTGCTTTACTTTATTTCCATATCATTTATTACCTTATAGCGTATAAGAAAATGTGCACACTTAGGTGTGCCATCTGTCTCCCACTGCTAGACTGCGGACTCACTCAGGTGGGGGTCTTCGCCTGTTTTGTTCACTGATGGATTCCAAGTGCCTCTGTAGCATGTGGTGCTGAGTAAGCACTTACTCAGATAAATTAACAAGTTGGATAAATTAACATCCTGAGAGAGAGAGAGAGAGATAAGACACCAAAACCAGGAAATACAAACAAGGGCTGGGCGCGGTGGCTCACGCTTGTAATCCCAGCACCTTCGGAAGCCCAGGCGGGTGGATCACCTGAAGTCAGGAGTTCAAGATCAGCCTGGCCAACGTGGTGAAACCTCATCTCTACTAAAAATACAAAAAATTAACCGGGCAACGTGGCGGACACCTGTAATCCCAGCTACTCGGGAGGCTGAGGCATGAGAATCACTTGAACCTGGGAGGCGGAGGTTACAGTGAGCTGATCATAGGACCGTACTCTAGCCTGGGCTACGAGATGGAAACTCTGTCTCCAGAAGAAAAAAAAAGAAAGAAATAGGATACCGTATAAAAGATACACTGAAAAGAAAAATAAATTTCAGAAAAGAAAAAAATTAAACATTCAATAGAAGGACTGGAAAATAAAGTTGAAATCTCTCAGGAAAGTAAAAAAGACAAAGTGGGTAAAACAGAAGAAAGAAAATCAGGGACCATATGAAGAGCTTTAATATCCAAATAACAGATGTTCAAGAAAAAGAGGCGAGGACAGAGGTGGGGCAGGAAAGACACAGATCGAGAAAGCTTCCCAGAATTGGAAGACGCGGATTTACACATTGGAAGGGCCCATTAAGAACCAGGACTAGGCCCAGTATCAGCAGAAGAAAATCCCACAACTTGCAAAGCTGTCCTACAAAGCAAGATCATACAAAGAAACAAGAACCCCAATGGCTATGAAGTCCCCCAGGCAGCAACGGAAGGTCGAGGACAGCAGAGAAATGCCTTGAGATGCCAGTAGGAAAGAATCCAGCAGGAAAGTCACCAGTCAAGAATCCTGTAAGCAAACTAGGATTTCAGTGTCCGAGCAGATGCAAGGTGCCTTTCTGGCACGCAAGGACTCAAAACAAGTTCCTCAGCTGCTGTGAGGGAGCAGGCGCCGCAGATGCTCGTGGCCCTCCTTGCAGTTACCAGGCGGCCTCTGGGAGAGCTCCTCAGAGGCGGGGCCACCTCTGGCTTGTCAACAGGATGTGTGTAGGTCACCCTCTCTTATGCTGGGGATCACACCTAGTTTCCAGGGTTTGGTAACTTCCCTGCCACTTCCATTAGGAATGGCCTGAAAGGCTGACACTTACAGGTGAATGCGTGATTGTGCTGCTTGGGACACATTTTATTCTCCTATGGGCGATACTCTAAGAGGGGGGTAAGCTCCTTATCAACACATGAGCAGCACCGCATCTGCTGGATGATCCTATGAAAGTCACAAGTTTCTCTTGTACAGTAATGAGAAGGGTGGAGGGGGCCACAGAAGGAGGGAGAGCTCCCTGGGGCGCCCAAGAAAACACCAGAGCAGCTGAGAGCCTGGCCTCCCTGAGTTCCTGGATTTCGAGTAAGCCTGAAACCGTGGCTTAGGATATCTTTGTTGCTGCAGCATCTTTTCCTCTCAAAGGACCCTGGGGCAGTTAGCAATGCACATATGCATGCACGCGCACATGCACACACAAACGCACACACACAGGCATGCACACACACACGCACGGACACACGCGCACAGACGCACAGCTGTCTGAAAGCCGGGGCTGCCTGGCAGAACACTGACACTGGGCTGTGATAAGGCATGAGGCTTTGAAGCAGGACAGATCCAGGTTTCCCACCACGATGCAGGCGAGTGAGCCTGCTTCTGCACATGAAGGCCAATCACCAGCACCTCCACCTGCCTCATCAGAGCACTTACACGGGCTAGAGGCTTTTGCCATTGTGATTTCATTTAAATCCTCCCATCAACCAAAAAAGGTAGATATTACCATTGTCCCGATTTTATGGAGAAGAAATGGAGGCTCAGGAAATCACGTACCCAAGTTCCCACAGGGAGCAGGTAAGCTCAGAGGCGAACACAAGCTCCCAGGCTCCAGAGTCTCTGCTCTTAACCCACTTGGCTTGGCTGTAAAATATAAATATGTATTTATTACTTTCTTCCTAGACCAGTCCTTGGCCACAGGGCCTACCACCCTCACCGTCGTGCCCACAAGGTGTCACACTGCAAGGCTGGGCTGACGCCCCCTTTCCTTTGATCCGCCTCCTGCTGTTAGTGGGAAGAGGCATACATCCTTCACCCAGAAGCTAGCTGTCCTCACCTCACCATGGAGGAGCACTCTGGGGTCCTTCTGAGGGAGGCCCCTGAGTCTGAGCTCAGCTCGAGGCTGCTTCTGTGCCTCAGGGGTCCCTCAGGCCAGACATGATGCTGAATGAGCGCCGGAGCCAGGGCGGACTTGCATCATTCCACTCTCAGCTCAGCACAAAGCCTCGCAGTGTGGATGCGCTCCACACATTTGCTGAGCGGAAGAATCAAGCCTCCTACTTCCAAACAGGAGAGGGAGCTGGGGACAGAGAGATTTGTGAAGCTGACAGATCTCAGGATAGCCCAAGAAATCTGAGCCCCAGTGCCTTGGTGATCTATCTCCGGGGAGCTGCGGTCTGGGTGAAACAGGATCATAAAGGAGCCCTGCCTCTTACAGGAGAGGCAGTGGATGGAACGGTCTTCCAGATGCCCACCGTCCAGCTCACTCGGGGCTGCGGGCTATGCTGCCTGGACCGCCACGTCCCATGCCTACAGCCACGTACCAGGAAGCAGAGAAGAGGCCGACAAGCACCAGGGAATGCCATGCTGGACTTGACACCTGGCTCCTTCACACCCTGATGTGGAAAAGTCCGGACCTGCTGGCAGCATCTTATGCCACAGGAGAGGTCTCCCTAAACACGACGGCACCTCCTGATCCGGTCCTGCTGCTACGTCTGCTCCCGCAGCACTCCAGGCTCCGTGTGCTGAAGTCTGGCTTGCCAATATGCATTCTTTACCTCAACCTGACACTTTACCTTTTTTGGGTCGTATACCACTTTGAAGCACTAATGAAAACTGGGAACCCTCTCTCCAAGTCAGTGTTCATATGCACACAGAATTCTGCATGCAATGTAGTGGGCTCAGGCCTCCTAAGGATCACCAATGTCCCATCCCATGGCCTCTTGCCAGATTATGAGGCTCATGAAAGGGAGGAGGCCCTTAGAAGCTGCAGCATAGAGCCTGGGCGGGACTGGAGAGGTTTGTAAAGATGTCTTACGGAACCTGGACTTTAAACCTGGACCATTGTTTTTGTAAATTTAGCAAATGAAGCAACAGACATGAAAACTGCCTTGCCAAGTTAAAAAGCAGTTTCAATTCCAATAAATGGCTATAGCGTCCCTCCCCACCTATAAGACTGTGGGGGAGTAGAGATGACAGGGCCAGAGGAAGTGGCCCTGCGTGGTCCTGCGTTTCTGTTCACTAGCCATGTGCTCATGGCCATGCCGCAGGGTCCTCCTGGGTGTCCACGGCTTTCCTCCTGCATCAAGCATGCAGGGGAAGAAGGAGTGGGCGTAACTTAGCACCATGCGTGCCACATGGGTCTGACCCGACTGTCCCACGCGTGGGCTGAGTGACGCTGGGTGAGTCCGGCACTGTGTCGTCTGTGAGAAAGTGGTGGCGATAGTCCCCACTCCCAGTGCTGCTGTGAAAACAAAGAGCCCGTCATAAGGAGAGAGCTCGACAAATGCGGCTGTTCTTGTCCAGGGTTCCAAAGGTCTTGTTGGAATCAAAAAGAATGCACGCATAGAAACCTGCCACTAGGACACTGTGTGGCAACTGCCACATTTTTAAGTGAAGAATCCAACCTTCAGAAGAGTCGCCATTGCTCCTAACCAATGTCACTCTCAAACACAGAGAAATTGAAAACAAATGATTCCATAGGTCAACACAGAACTGGCTTTTACTAACAAAATCAAAGAACCTCAAATACTTTTTGTGGACATCAAATTCTTTCCTTCATATTTTAAAATGATACGGTGCATGTACGTATTTTTAAAATTTAGACACATTTTAGAGAACACAGTTGTGAACGGAAACCCAAGAAATGAATGAGATATCTGAAGTCTGACTCAAACGCTCTGTTAAACTGACTTCTGTCAATCCTCTGTCCTGTGAAGTATGTCCCGTTTCTCCTTTGCCTGCAGGGACGGAGCTGGAATTACTGTCACCCAGCAGCACATGTAACAGACATGAGGCAGGGATTAATGCAGAGCCACAGAACAGCACCTCTGCTGTCAACCCTAGTGGCTTTAAAAAAAAAATCTGTAAACAAAATCTCCTCCATTTATTCCACAGATTTTTTAAATCTTTCCCTCAGTGTGTTAGAAAGACTAGTGTTTTTCAAACACGTGAGCGGATGGACTCACCTGGGGAGACACCTGGACACCTTGGTCACCCTTGCGGCTGCTCTGCAGACAGCTGGCTGCACCATGGGCCACCGCCTCCTCTGAGCAGGGCCGCCCTGGAAGCCTCGTGCTGCCTGTGCTGCCTACTGGCTTCCCTTGAGAAACGGGCAGGCAGGACCTCACTACTGAGCTCTGTGATGCGTTATGTTTTGATGAGGTGGGCAGGGAGGATGGGAACAATGTTATCTGGATGAGGTTGGACACCGTGTGAGGTCTTCTGCAAAGCAGCTGCCCTTAGCTTGTTGACGACAGCATCCTGCCTGCAGGTGTGGGCTGCTGGACTGCCTGTGAAGCCCATCGGCAGGCCCAGGAGGTCAGGTAAAGCGGACCAGGATGATTTATATTCACATAAGTCATCAATCTAACATGAAAGAAAATCATTATGACTCAGGGGCAAGGGTGTCTGCAGCAGAGACTCTCCAGCATTGTTTGGAAGCTGAATGTCACAGATTTAGGATGCCAGCCCCACACATAACCACACGCGTAAAAAGGAGACTTTTCTCCTAAACTGCAGTTTTTCTTTCTCCTTTCTGAGAGGAGTGGACACGGGCTGGGAAGTGCTCAGAGCGCCCCCTGCAGACAAGGACTGGGCTGTCGAGAGAGTCCCCCTGTCTCATGACACAGGCCTTAGCTCACAACTTGAGAAGTACTTAGTCCCAGGCCACTTGTTCCAGGATGACAGAAACCCTTCCAAAACCTGAAATCTACAAGATAGAATTTATGAGTTTAGGCTAACCCAGCTTACTGCCCACATTTTTTTAAATTAAAAAATGTCACACAAACACCACAATGTTGTTGGAACATTATGTCTCTCTCATCTATAAATGAGGGCTAATACTTTTTATCACCCAAAAGTAGACAAAAAATATGAAATGCATTCATTCAAATTTAGAATTTGATAACTTTCCAAAAGGTTGAAATAAGTTTAATTGCAGGGACATCAGTCGAGTGTCTGTTCACCTATAATAACCCATCTGGAATGTACTTACTCTTCCTCCAACAGTAACTTATCATACTGATTAACTGGGGTGGAGCCTGTCTTAGTGACAGATACCTGGGTAAGTGTTTTGTACCTGCCAGCATTCAGCCGCTGCTGCCTGCAGTGTAGCCACCAAAGGCATCTTGGGAAAGCTCCCTTTGGGTCCAGAAGCCTCCTCCCCAGGGCTCTGGCTGCCCTGGACTCTACACAAAGCACTGAAGCCCCTGCTGGGAACTGGGCCGTGGCAGAGCTGCAGTGCACCGAGGCTTCTGTAGAACACTAAGGTGCGTGCAGAGCCCAAACAGGAAGCGTTCCACTGTGCACCCCAAATCACCCCAGCAAGCCCCTGCGGACCAGCTGCTCCTGTCCATCCTGGAGTGGTCATTCCCTCATGCTTATCCGGAAGGTGCCACGGAAAAGGCTGACAATGTATTATCACTAGGATAGACCCTAGATCATCTTTCTGATATACAAGATAGACATCACCTGTTCTCTCATTTGACAATATGGAAGAAATCCCGCTTTATACATTTTATACGGAAAAGTGGACACTGCCATACACTCATGTGTGGTCAGCTCCGAGTCCCATGAAGAGAAGGGCCTTCCACTTAAAACAGCTTACACCTGGACACAACAAACACCAAGAAACATGCAAACACTACAGAGAATCCGGGTGTGAAGAGGTCATATTTTATACTGGTGAGGGCGCCGTTACAATGCTGATGGATGGCTTCGGTCACTCATGCTCTAACAGAGGGGCCTGTGACGGTGTCTGCTTTTTTCTTTCAGGACTCCCAGTTGTTTCTGTGTCAGGCACTAAGCAATCTGGTGGCTTTTGGTCCAAATGGGTATTTTAGTTGTCTTTTTGCACCTTTTAATCCCTCTTCGAAGAGTCAAGTTCAAATGCTGGAAATCGTGATGCCTCTGGTCCCAGGACATCGGAGAGAAAGTGAATAGCGCCAGCCATACCTGCAACGTAAAAGGAGGAACCTCTTAGGAATGGCATGAGGGTGGTGTCTAAAACAGTGACTTTTCATCATTTACTTTACCAGGGGCTGCAAGCATGTGGGAAAGGTGCTGAGGACTCTCAAGATGACTTCATTAAAAAAATGAAGATATCCTTTTCCTCACTATCTTATATTTTAAAAATTGGTTACTGGGCTTTAATCTTATATCTTGAAACTTTAAGGTGACATCACAGAGTCGCTATGAAAGTTATGGATGCTGCTAATTACGATATTCCTACACACAGAGCTTCCCCTCAGGGCCTGTATATGCTCAAAGTTGCATTTTACGTCTTCTTTATATCTGAAGAATGTTATTTTTAATAAACCTTAATGTGGTCAAAATCCCCACCCCAAATCACTGCAGTAATTAAGCAGTGGGTTTTCAGCTAGACTCACAGCAGCATGGGAAGGGTGTGGGGTGGGGAAGGCGCTCGCAGCCCACCAAGGCCTCCAGGTCTCCTGTCCCCACTCAAATCAGAACAATCTCTCTCTTACAGAGTTTTGTTTACAGTTTTTCTTTTGATGTAAAATTCACGCACAATGAAACACACAAATCCGAAGTGTACTTCTCTGAGTTCTGTCAAATGCATACACTGTGCAAACAAGACCCGAATAAAGCCTGGAACATTCCCACCAGTCCAGGAAGTTCTGCGTGCCCTTCTCCAGCCCTCCTGCCCTGTGGTCCCCCCAGAGGTAAGTGGCAGCCTGGTCTTGGTCCACCACGGATGAGTTAGGCCTGCTTTGGCACTCTTATGAGTGTGGCCACAGTGTACGGCCCTTGTATCTGGCTCCTTCATCAGGGTTCTTGCGATTCATTCCCATTCTGTATGTGTTCATAGTTGGCCCCTTCTTACAGGCAAACAGCACGTCACAAATTCTTTCCCCATTTTTCCTAGTCAAAGTCATCTGGGTGTTCCAAACCTCCTCTTTAAGTTTTTGTTTGAAGAAAGGGTTCCAGAAACTTACTTTTAAGAAATTAGAAAACCACTGACCATGAGAAGTAAACAGGGACCCATAACAACCACAGGAAGCCCTACAGCAGGCCCTGTGGGGATTAAGCTGCCTTTCCTGCTTGGGTGTGTGGGCAGCGGACCCGCTGGGCGGCACACTCACAGCAGGAGTGAGCTCCTTTGGAAGGGGTGCCAGGTGGCAGCGAGCCCTCCCGGTGGTTCCTTCAGCCGGCCAGTTTGCCACAGTGGGCTACACTGCTAGGCACACAGCCTCATGATCCCTCCGCCCCCTGACAGGAATTTGGTGAGGGTCCCCACAGTTCTGCCTGGCAGGCATTGGCAAGGCACAGGGGAAAGAATGACCTATTAACTTCCCGCCTGTAGGGAGCTGTACATCCAAAGCCGCACTGGAGCTCAGGACGTGCTATTATAAACTAGATGAACTCCATTTAGAGTTCAGGCATTAACTCCGTTACATCTGATACAAATGCACTGCATTTCTATGACAGAGTACTAAAACTTTTATTCTAATAAATACTTTTCCTTATGATTCCTTTCAATATTAAAAAGATCATTTTCTGCAAAAGATCTGACACATGCTCTATTTTCTGCTCATATTTCTAAAGTGTTATTTAAAAATACTGCCAATATGAAAACTACAACAGGACATACCACTACAGACACAGGCATCAAGAGGATGGTGAAGGAATACAGCCAACAGCTCACACACATGAATTTCAAACATGTACGCAATTAACCCATTTCTCAGAACCTACAAACGACGGCCACTCACCCAACGTGAAATAGGTAACTTCAACAGCCCTATAATTATTTTAAACACTGAATTTGTTTTAAAAGTCCAGAAAAATAAATCTCCAGACTCCAGACCTTGAAGTTTGTACTGGAGAATTCTACCAAACATTTAGGTTACATTAATACCAATTCTTCCACCAATTAACACACAGTATGTCCCAGAAAACAGAAGAGAAGATACTTCTCAATACGATTCATTAGGTCAGTACGACCCTGATACCAAAACCAGACCAAGACAGCACAAAACAGAAAAACTGTAGGTCAGTATCTTTCATGAATATAGATGCGAAAACCAGAAAGCACGCCCACACCCACAGAGAAATCTAGTAACGAATATCCGGGTCTGTTTATGGGACTTGGGTCTGCGCTCCTGTCTGACCTTCCCTTCGCTTGCCTGCGGCGGACTCGGTGGAGTTCTTGTTGCTTTCACTGACTGCCTATCATTGCTCTTCTTTTCAGAACTTTCTTCAGTATTCACGCTTGCTATTTTTTCTAATTACTAATATTTCTAATTGCTAATATTAATTATTCACACTTCTTTATATTAAATATATTTCTCTGAATACACCAATATTAAATACACACATTACAGATGAAATGTGGTGGAGGAAACTATTTCTTCCATTGCTAACAGCAAGACTTCTATGTTCTGTATGCATAGACGCCTCACAAAAGATCTAAGAACACTTGGAAGACATTCACAGGAGCAAAAAACAGGTAAGGTTGAGAGAGCCCACAGAATTTTCAGCAATAAGCTAATTTGCTGACTGTTACTTTACAGTTTGGAAATATTACTTGAGCCAGGTCAAATGTAGACAGAGCCAGTCCACAAGGACAAGAGGACCAATTTCACTCATCCAAACGTTTAAACCATAGCGTTTTTCTCCCTCTTACCTTCAAAGAGCGAATAGGGTCTGTCAGGAATGCGGCACCCGTGTGCTCCATAATCTAGACACCACTCTGCAAACTGAAAAGAAAGAGATTTCTTTTTAAGACTGGAGTTTCTACATGGTGAAAAGGCAACAAATGAGAATGCAGCGTCTTCACAGCAATCAGCAAAGTGGGCCCCAGCTGCAGGGCATTCAGCGAGGTCTCCCGCGCCCCCTTCTTCCGGGGTGAGGCTCAGCAAGTCCCCTTGCCTCCGCTTGTGGCTGCGTCAGCTGTAGGTGGGGTCTGCCTTACGGCTGCTGGGAAGTCCAAGGTGGGACCTGAATGACTCAATGACACTCCGTCTTCCCTGGCACCTGCCTCCTGCCCCTTTAGCTAACGATTCTAGGAGCAACTTGAAACGCCTGCTCTATCCTAAACAAAAAACCCTGGCTCTGAAACAGCCCTCAGCAGCATCTGCGGGCTCCCCTGGCCCCAGCTGGGAAACAGGCAGCTTCAGCCCTGGCTGGGGTGCCTCCTGTCACCCCAGCCTCTCCGCCTTCACAGCCCCTCAGCCCTCTCTGCGCTCTCCTCTGAGCTCCTTGACCCTTTCTTCTGAGACCTCTTCACTGGGTGTTTCCCTATAGTTTTAATACACTTCCCTTTTTTGCCTCAGCTAACATAATTTGAAGGGTCATTTGTATACTAAGAATCCTAAGTAATAAACATGAGGAGTCAAGTTCAGCACATGTGGAATGAAACTCGCTCTGCTTCTCCCCTCCCAAGCCGCTCACTCTTTGCTTGTTTGATGGCCCACCTACCCAGCTTCCCAAGTCAGACAACAGGAAGACATTCAGATATTTCCATCTTCTCCACATCTGAAAACATGCTTTAAATTCTGAGGCCTTCACATGCTAGGTGTTTCTAAATGTCTCATCCGTTATCCCAACCAATGCTTTGGTTTATGATTCAACATTTCTTGCATTAATTACTAAACTGCAATTTGGGGAAACCCAAGCCCGCCTCATTCTTCCCACTGGGACCACAGCCATCTTTCTAAAAGAGGAGTCTGAACACGGATTCTAAACCCTTCCATGACCCCCCCATCTTCCAAATCAGTATCCAATGCTAGCTTTTAAAATTACTGGGGGAGCTTGAACACTATTAGTGCTGAGGCTTCCTCGTTTAACTGCTCTCGAGTGAGATCCAGGCATGATTTGAAAGCTTCCCAGTGGTACCAGGTTGAGAACAACCGGCTACAGGGAAGGACTAACTTTCTCTGTCCTCTGCCCACCTGTCTGACTTCACCTTTCGCCACACCTTTCCTTCCCTCTGCATCCCAAAGGCTGAAGTGCCTGCGGCGTCAGGAACACGCTGAGCTGGTTCGCGATCTGCGGCTCCGCCCAAGCTGCTCTTCTCATCAGAGCTGCATTCCACCTCTGCAGGCCACCCCTGCCTGGCCCACCGGAAAAACCCCTCATCTTTAAAAAACTGGCTGCGTCTCAGCCCTCGTGCGGTCCTCTTGCATTGCCCGTGTTTGCATAATTAAGTCCCATCATCACATCATCAAGGCTGGCCCAGGCCTGCGGAATCTCGCTGTTCCCTGCTCGTGGGCTCCTGTTCTGCCCCATCCCTGAGCTCCGGCCACGGTGCACTTCGCACAGGCCCTGGGCGCTCACACCTCCGGGCCTTTGGAACAGCAGTGTCTCCTTCCTCATCCCCCTTTGCTTACTTTCAAGCTTTCCTTCAGGTCTTACCTGAGACGTCCCTCACTGATCTGCCATGCCAGGTGGCCCTCTTTGCTTCCACACCCTCCCGCAGGCTTCCCTAAGTTGGGGAGCCACAGACGTGGCTGTGTTGGTGTACATTTTCTGGCACACCAACAAGGGGGGGCCCATTCCGCCTGGGTTGAGAAAAGGCTTCTAAAGTAACAGATGTTCGAAAGGGATGAAGAACACATCAGCTGCAGTGCCTCCATCTATCAAGGGCACTGTACACACTTTGGTGCATTTTCTTCCAAACTTCTCTGTGTGCACACAACTATATTTTGTGAAAAGTGCACGTAATAAAAATACTAGCAAACCCTTACTAAGTCCTGCTCTGTGGCATCCATCTTGACACGTCCAGCGCACATTTACGGAGTTTCTACTCGGTGCTATACACTGCGCCAGGTGCTGGTGTGGAACGGTGACCCAGATAAACAAGATCAAGGGGCTTATGTTCTACCAGCCACACTCTCAAGAAACAAGCAAAAACATGCAACGAGCAACTGAGTGACCACCCACTTCGGGGGTCTCAAAGGTCCCTCTAAGAACGCCACAATTCTGATCAGCACGGCAAGGAGCCACCTGGCAGGGGAAGAGCACTCCTGCAGGGATGGTTAACGACAGGCCCAGCAGAAACAGGAGTGACATACTCCGTTCTTAGAGGGGTGGCGTGGCTGTCGTGTATGGGCTAGAGAGCAAGGTAAGGCAAGGAGACCGGGTGGGGACACAGACAAGGGCCCGGGCACAGGGCTCTGTCCACCCGGCGGAGGAGCGCGGGCTCCATCTGCAGTCGATGGGAAGCCACCAGAGGGTTTTAGCAGATTAGTTCAGTTCTGCTTGGAACACCCTTAGGAGGTGGGTCATACTTTTTTTTCTGTCTGTACAAATGAGGAAACTGAGGCTTGAGGAAGAGACATGTCCAAACTCATAAACAAATAAATGGCACAGGTGGTAATTCTAGTCAGGCAGTGACTCCAGGACACATATTCTTCAGAAGCCATTGACGTGTGCTCCCCATTCCACAGAGAGGGACACTATGGCCCAGAGAAGCCACGGACAAGGCCGAGCCGGAAGAACAAGAGGAAGCTCCAGAGTTGGGAGAAACAGGCTAAAAGAAGGAACAGGAGTTGTACTTCCGGACTCTGCACACTTGGCTTTGTTCGGAAGCAGTTAAACAGAGCCGCCCTCACCTTGCAAGCTCGGTAGAGGTACTTCTTATCCTGCGTGAGACGGTAAAGGGACAGGAAGGAGTAGCCATTGCCAGCAGTCCCGTGGCAGATCCCGTAGCCCTTCCGCAGCAGACCCCGCTGCCAAATCACATCGCTGCACTCCATGGCCTCTTTCAAGTACTTCTCCTCCTTAAAGACCTGGGCAAATGAAAAGCAAAGCAGTACTAAAAAGACGGTTTTAACGAAGAGTTTGCAAAACACTTTCCTTTCCTGATTAGAACATGGCATGATGTTAGGAAAACCGAAATGGCATTGGAGGCTAACACAGACAAAACCCCACCAGCAACACCATACATAGAATCTCACAATTTCAATCCTTTAGCCCAGCGGTCTCCAACCTTTCTGGCACTAGGGACTGGTTTCCTGGAACCATTTTCCCACGGACCAGGAAGGGGAGTGAGGATGCTTTCGGGATGAAGCTGTTCCACCTCAGATGGTCAGGCATTAGTTAGACTGTCATAAGGGGCCCGCAACCTAGATCCCTCGCATAAGCAGTCCGCGATATGGTTCGCTCTCCTATGAAAATCTAACGTGGCCGCTGATCTGACAGGTGGCAGAGCTCAAACGGTCATGAGTGATGGGGAGTGGCCGTGAATACGGACGAAGCTTCGCTTGGTCACTGCCGCTCACCTCCTGCTGTGCAGCCCGGTCCCCAACAGGCCACGAACCAGTACTGGTTCACAGCCTGGGGGGCTGCGGACCCCTGCATTAGCCTATCCCCCTTCTCTTCCTTCTGTTTCATGTTTTACTAAAGTAATCCTAAAATTTAGTTTTTAAAATTAAAATTAAAGCTGCCACATGTCTTTGGTAAAATGTTTTCCTTCTTTCTTGGGACGTACATCCCATAGCTCTAAAACTTCTGCTCTTATAGAAGGCAATCGAGAGAGTGAGGCCGTGTCAGCAGGGCAAGAGTGTCCAACACGCTGGTCAGTACACGTCAACAGCACCCGAGGACCTTGCACCACCAGGCTGGCAAGATCCATCTTCACCCATCCCAAAGAAGCTGGCATGAAGCTTTCTGGGGTCCAGGAGCAAATGCTGCTTATATGGTCAGCTGCAGAGACAGGCAGGCTCAGTAAAGGCAAGACACGGCAAGAGGAAGCTGTAGGTTTTCACCTCTTGAGATTCCCTTGTGCGTTTTCTTTTTTCTCCTCATGTGCCAGGTACTGTTTTCCTGATCCTTTTTCAGAATCTGTTCTTAGTTATCCCTACCTGCTGCCCTCATCCCATTCCAGTGCAAATAGGTTTTGGACAATGAATCAGATCCACAAAGGTCATCACTACTTGGGTGGCAGGTCAGGTCTCTCTACTTGTGACTGATGAGCTGGGCGCTTAGCTGAGAAGGGCTCTTTGGCCGCAGGAAAAAGGCGGCAATGGGGGGACAGGGCACGAACTGTGACCAGTGTCACAGACAGGGCAGAGTGGGAAACAGAGGCAGGGCAAATCACCAGGGAGATTAAATGTTCCCAAAGTTAGGCTGTTAGGGAATCGGAAACAGGGCCCCTTCTGTCAGTCACAAAAGCAGCTAAGATGTGGGCTCTGGGGTCAGACAACCTGAGCTGAAGTCCCTACTGTCACCTTTTAACTGAGTGACCTTGGATAAGTCACTGAATCTCTATGTCTTAGTTTTCTCAACTATAAAAGGATGACATTCCTTCAGCTCAATGGCTTGCCGTGAGGATTACAAAGTGATCACATCCATGGAGCTCCTGGAACAGCGCCCAGCACGTGGGGAGTGCTATTTCCCGGCTATGATTAACCATTACTCTTTCCACTTTCCCATGCCAGCACACATACTTCATCCTGTCACTTGCATCTTAAGCCTCTGAAAATGAACTGTAAAGGAAAACCTGTTTTCCCATCCTAAGAAATATTCGGTCAAAGCTAACGAGTGAGAAGATAATGTGTCAGAGGCTGTCCTAAAATCACACAGAAAGTGAGGCCAGCCCTAAAGTGAGCTGGAGCTGCCCCTGCTGCTGGGAGCCTGGGTGAGTGAGGGTCCACAGGGAAGCTGATCAGGGTTCCTTCATGCTGTCCTGTGCTGTGAGGCTGAGGCTGCTGGCGCCATGCCCACAACACCGCCTGCACTGCCACTTCTCAGCACCAGCAGCCTGCCACGCCTGCCCCCGCCCACCACAGACACTCGTGCTCTAGGCAAACAGCTACTAACAGTGAGATATCTGAGAATCCAGAATTATGGAAAAAAGCTCCAGGACTTAATCACAGATTCATCTTCTCCACGCTGTATTACAGCAATCCTACAAGGGCTAGAAAATCCACATACCTATCCACATTACCTCCCCCAAATGGTAAGTTTCCCTAGGCAGTGTAGGACAGAAAGTGTGGAAAGACAGCGCGATGCAAAGGCAAACCTGAGGGCTGTGGGGTCGGAGGACAGGACTAGGGTCCCTGTTCCTCCACGCCAGGCTGTGACTCTAGGCTAGCTGCCGCACCCTGCCCGGGCCTGCACACCCACGCTACAAAACAGATGGATCCCGAGATGACCCCAACGCCAGAAACAGAGACAAGGGTTTTAGGCAGTTATTAGAAATATCTTCACAGATGAAAAGGGAATTAAAATCATCATCAGTGAACCCTCAGAAGAGAAAGACACGGTAAGACAGAAACAAATGGATATTCTGGACCTAGAAAAACATCAACAGGTAAAATTACTAAACTCACTGGGTGGGTTTAAGAGCAGACTGGACATAACAGAAGAAATCATGAGTGAATACAAAGCCAGGGAAATAGCCATCATCTGATCCGAATTATAGAGAAGAACAAGAAACCTGGAAAACAAAAGCCTCGGGAACCTGTAGGAAAAGAGAGGCCAAGCAGCCACGCAGTGTACTAAAAGACACACAGTTACAATTCAAGATCAAAGGGTCTTAACCACGATACATACAAATACATCTAGGTATGTAACAATTAAACCACTGAAAGCCAAAAATTAAGAGGAAACCGTGAAATCCTCAGGAGAAAATGCAAACGTTCCATCCAAGAGAGCAGTGCAAAGAATGACTTCAGAATGACAGGGGCCGACAGCAATGGAACGCTGCCATTAAAGCACCTAAAAGAAAATAGGTCAATCTAGAATTCCACACCCAGCAAAAATGTATTTAAGAATAAAGGTGAAATAAAGACAAATTTAAGACAAATGAAAATCAATTTGTTGTCACCAAATATGGACTACAAGAAATGCTACGTAAAGTTCTACAGGATGAAAAAAATATTATCAGATAGAAATCAGGATCTTCAGGAAGAAACGAAGACCACTAACTAAAAATGGGAAATATGCAAATAAATATCAAAACTGTCTCTTTGGCTTGTATCAATTAAAATAAAATATTCAGGGCTATTTAAAGCAAAACTTCTGGCCAGGCATGGTAGCTCACACCTCTAATTCCAGCACTTTAGGAGGCTAAAGCAGGAGGCTGACTTGGGCCCAGGAGTTCAAGACTAGCCTGGGCAACACAGTGAGGACCCTGTCTCTTCAAAAACAATTTTTTAAAAAAATTAAAAATAAAGCAAAAATTCTAACATTATACTACTGGTTTACCACATTTGCAGATTTCATAAATATGGCAGGTGGAGCGCAAAGCCCTGGAGTAAGCAGAACCACCTTCCTATGAGTTTCCTACAGTTTATGCAAAGTGGCTCAGTGTTACCTCTAAGGAGATTGTGAAAAGCAAAGGATATATATTACAACCCCTACAGCAATTACTAAAAAACATGTGCAAACAGATACAGTTAAAGAGTCAACAGAGGGCCAGGCACGGCTCACATCTGTGATCCCAGTACTTTGGGAGGCCAAGGTGGGTGAATCACCTGAGGTTAGGAGTTCAAGACCAGACTGGCTAACATGGTAAAACCCCATCTCTACTAAAAATATAAAAATTAGCTAGCTGGGTGTGGTGGCACATGCCTGTAGTCCCAGCTACTTGGGAGGCTGAGGCAGGAGAATCACTTGAACCCAGGAGGCAGAGGTTGCCGTGAGCTGAGATTGCGCCACTGCACTCCAGCCTGCGTGACAGAGCAAG